TTAGGCAACTCCTTTGGGCGCTAGTGACTTGGGATCCTTTTGGGTGTTGATGACTTGGGCCCTTTTGGGCGCTGGTGACTTGGGCCTTATTAATCCATTGGGCCTGACCCAGTTGATTTCGGGCTCATCAAGGAGTAATATATCTCTCATCAAATTTTATACCAATGTGTTGTTTAGAAACTTTTTTCAGAATGGAGACAGAGAATAAATTTAAGAAACTTCATTTTTAAAACCGCAACATTCTTTGACTCAATTTGATTTTCAAGAGGGAAGGAGGGGGTTAAATGGGGGACTATTAAGACTTGAACCTTGCATCTAGGAGCAAAGTAGAAAAGACTCCAACCACTTAGGGATGACAATGAACTGGAGAAAAATGAAAATTCGTTCAAACCCATCTAGAGATAAATCATACGTACTGGAAAGTGGACGTATACAAGTATACTAATATAAATTTGTGAGAAGATGGAGGTTGGATTGGAGTAAAACTCATCCTCGCCCTTCTCTGACCCCCTAAACCCGTAATATATATCTTTGTGACAATATAGCTAGGTTTTTGAACCTATGAAGGGTATATTCTCCCCCCAAATTTCACACATCCATGACCATCACACACTTTCTCTCCTAAATTTCACAAACACTGCACAACACACAACTACACACACTCCAACACACACTTAATATATATACACACACACTCATTATATATACACCCCAGTTGTACACACACCCCAATGCAATGTTATTTTGGAGAAATGAGGAGCATATATCTCAGAGAGAAATAATGAAATTATTTTGAGAGAAATTTTGGTAACTGTTGGATGAGTCTATTTGAAACCATCGAATAGATTTATTGAAATCTGCTCTGTTTTATATAATATATGTATACACACACACACACACACATATATATATAACAAATAAAATAAGTAAGTGAAATACACATTTGCTATGCATATTATTTTTTGTGAGTTTTTATGTTTAATCCATTTTGTTATATAATGAGTTTTTATCCTACTTGCAAATCCATTTGTGAAGTTTTATGGTTTTTTTAAAATTTTTTTTCTTAAAATCATAGAAATTAATTGTTATGATTTTTAATTTTTTTTTCAATGCTACAAGTACCTTATTTAGTGATTTTATTTGACGACCTTATTATTCTCTACCATTAGATTGACAGTAGACCACACTATTAGTTAGGACTTATTATCAATTCAATGATTATAATTTATCATACTATTAAATAAGGTCATTAAATTAAGAACAAAAAGTATTTCCTTTTAATAAAATATCTAATGCCCATATAGCCGCTCCTACTGTCAACACACACATCATTTACAACGTATACATGTTTTAAATGTATGTGTGTAATCGTAATCCTTCTCACGAACTTATATTCTATTTTGTTTACATTTTTGAAGTACGAATACGAATATGAAATATGAATACGATATATTATGAATATGATTATATGACAAAATCTAAAAAAAAAATACAGATACGACTGGATATATCCATAAAATATATTTTTTAAAAATTTTGTTATTTTATTTAATATAATAATTATGATTTATAAAGTGAATCACACATCTATCAAAGATATATAATAAATAGTCATAACCTGCGTTTGAAGGCACGATGAAACATAAAATTCGAGTATTCAAAAAATTAATTCTACTATATCAAATAATAATTTTTTATTTCTTCGTTTCTTTCATTACATCATTTAAAATTAATTTTTGCCTATTATTATTTTTTAAAATAGCATCAAAATTTTCTCAAAATGTATAACTCATAATTTGTTTTCAACACGTGTACACTATCGTGTATAGACAATGTATGAAATAAAAATTGTGTTAAATCATAAATTAATCAAATGTTAAATGATTTAACATATGATATAATTGGATGATATGATGTGTTTAGGGGAAAAAATATATTGGTGATAAACTTTCAAACTCTTATGTGTATTATTATATAGATAACTAGTCATTCTATCATTCAGTAATCATACATTTATAATTTTTTTTTTTTTTCAAATAAGGGTCCAAACATATTTGCTTTGGTGCTCCTATTCTTTTTAAAAAATTCAAGTAATACCCACCGTATCTATATCCCCGCCGTATCCTGAAATATCCGAAATTAATTTTTTTTTTAATTTTAAGATACTTTCCAGCCATATCGGATATATATCCGACCGTATCGGATGTGTATCTATATTTAGAAAGTATCTAATACCGATACTTTGACCTTTTTGAAATATCCGTGCTTCATAGGTTCCAACTCTTACTTCCACATGTAATTGATACACAAAAGTTTCAAATCCCTTAACTTGTCGACCCACACAATTCCACGAATTTTTTCTTGAACAAATGCTTGCATTGGTTAGAATTTGGTATTTGAAGAGGTTTTGGTCTTGAACAATGCTACATGAACTTAAAAATTAGATTTGATAATTACAATCATTGATTTTACTGTGGGTTTTAGTATTTATTAGGACCCACTATCTATTCAATGGTTAAAATTATCAAGTCTAATTTTTTAATCCATCTAGCATTACTCTTTGGTCTTTCATATACTATCTTTCTTCGCTTTGTGTCGGTCTTATAACTCTTGTGAGTTCACTTCATATGCTTCTCCCACTCCTCTCCCTCTCTCTTTTGATCTCTCTCTCTTTGAGCAATCAATGTTCAATAGTTTTTGTATTGTAAAGTGTCTTCGGGTGTGAGGTTATTGTTAACTATCACCCCCAAAAATTATATAGGTTAGAAAAAAAATTAACCAACTAAACATGGCCTATAGCCTAATTGCCACCATTGATATTACTAACAAATAGATCACTGAGTCACTTACACCTTTTTAGAAAAATATAATACTTTCTTTTTTCGAGCTTGTAATTTATTCATAATCAATAACTCTATAAAAAAACACCAAATTTATAAAATTGTGAATCGTATTAGTAAAAGTCCCTTATTTTTTTCTTGTGTGCGTGAGAGAAAATTATATTCAATTAATCCTTATAGATGGTCTAATAGTCAAGTCTGTCCTTTTTCAAGTAAAATATTTTATGTTTGATACTTTCCACACCCCTTAAGGGTTCGTCACCCTTGTTTTTTAGAGTCAAAGGATATGTCTTTAAACTAACTCTGAGTTACAGTGGCCAATTCATAGCTCAAAAAAAGTAATCGACACAAGTTTAAACACATTGTGACCCAAAAAAAAAACTATATATTTTCGATCTTCACCAAAAATGTGTTTGTGAATAATGGAGAACACCTGGGGCCTTCAACAGCTGTTCTTCCCTTCTTACAACCCAAAGCCTGCTTTGTTTTCTTCTTCACGTCATTTTCTCATCCGCATCACATTAGGACTTCCCTACTTCCTTCAATAATGGATCCCCTCTCTCTCTCTCTCTCTCTCTCTCTCACACACACACACACACACGCACTCTTTAAAAACAATATCCATGTTTTTTGAGTTAGAAGTTAGGCTTCAGATGACAAATAACACCAGAAGTAACACTAGCGGAAAAACAAAATCTAGCAAACAATGTAGCATCGGTCTAGTTAGTGATAATCATAACAACCCAATTTCTTATACGCTTATTTGTGATGTCGTATTGTCGGATTCTAGATCTCTTCTAGTATATTTTGCTCAATTTCTCTCATTAGTCAAGTGTGCTTCCCTGTCTAAATGTCTCCAACCCCTATGATTTTCTTTTTATGGAAAACTGAAAAAGTATGTTAGACGGGATCCAAGTCCAGGGACCTGCCAATGGAGGATTTTGATCGTCGGATGCCACTTGGCATGACGGGTAACGATATCCCATCAACCCTGGTGGGTTGCCATTGCATGTTGTTTGGTCTGTGTAAAAGCTGATCTAACGTTTTACATCAGAATTTCTAGCAAACATATGAACGTGCATGCTACCTTTAGTTGAGATAACATTGGAGAAGTAAAGAGGTCCCATACAGCACAAAAGATTCTCATCATTCATAAGAAGTTTCCCTCCAAGAATGTTTGGTCTATGGCCCACTTGTTGAATAGATGAAACTGATCGTGAAATATGAATTATTGAACAGAAGAAAGAAGATACCCACTTAGATTATTAGCGGTTGATGAACCCAAAAAAAAAAAAAAAAAAACTTAATGAGTTTTGGTGGTTCCAGTTATTTGTAAAGAATCTGCTTTTTAAAAATAAAATTATATTTTGATCCCCTTAACCATGTCTTCTAGGTCACACTGCCCTCTCAACTATGCTTCTTGCATTGCGCTTCCAACTCTAGTTATTAGTTTTTTGTTTTTTTTGGGTTCAACGAACAAGAGTGTCGGGTCAGCTTACACGTATTTCGACTAATTTTATTTTTAGTCTGGTCAAAGACAGTTATCCACGTCGAGATTGGGGTATTCATGAGGAATAAATTTCTCACGGACATAACTTTAACGAGTTGTCAAAATTCAAACTTAGGACGTTTGGATTTACAATTTTTATTATCACTTGAGATACCCCTTGGGGTTATTAGTTTTAAAGTGCTTACTCCGGTTCTCATGCCACATTCCAACTATGATTATTAGTTTCACATGACCCTCCAATCGGAGACATTGCTAACGTGTATTTTATTACACATATTGACAATTCTTTCCAAACACATGGCGGGCATTTGGTTTTAGATCGACGTGAATCAATTCAAATAGTTAAAAAAGTAATTGGAGAAACACAATAGTTGAAGGAATAAAGTGAGATCAAAGCCGTAGTTAAAGGGGTCAAAGTGCACTTTGGCCTTTGATATTCCAAACAATGGTTCTCTGAAAAGACTGATCTTTCTGATATCCATAAAAGTAGTACTCAATTTCCAATAGGCTTGTTTGATGCACTTATTAATGCCCCTCTATTCCACAACATTATGAGGTTTAGGCCACAGGGATAGGAATTTTCTTTCATCTTTAATTTACTTAGCAAATTCATTTACTGTTCCAAGTTCTGGTGTGTAAATGGATTTGAAAACATATCCTTTCTGGTTTGTTCTTACAAAATTGCTCTCTCACTTGAACTTGCTAGGTATATATTTTCTTTCCCCCTCGCAGTGATCGGTTTTAATTTCCCTGGAAACATTCTCAAAAGAATCACAGCAGAATCAAAACCATATGAAGAAAAATCAATGAGCTTTGCTTAGGAGTATGTGAAAGTAACAAATTTTCCTCAATGGCAAGGAAGAAGTGCTTATTCAATCTACTTAAGAGGCTCTTCCTCTCAGACACACGTTCAAAATCACTGAAGGTAACATTTTTAGCTGCTTTGATCAGTTTTACTGTTTTATCTATACTTATTTGCAATCTATCATCATAAGGATAAAAGAAGGAGATGGGTGTTCCAAAAGCTCAAGATCATTAAATCCGCGCCACTTTCCAATTCCGCCCCACCACCACCATCATCATCATCATCATCACTGGCACCGCCATCTCCACACCCGTCGCCATCAAGAGAAAGAGCAGTAAGAGAAGCAGAGGAAGAGCAGAGCACTGCTCAGATTGCTACTGAAGTTGTTTGTCATTTCCATCAATGTGAACAAGAACAGCAACAATTCTCTGTCATTAATCTTCAAGGAAATGCTTCTCTATTGAGTAATCAATGTGAGAGAGTGATCCGAGATCTAGCTGCGATCAAAATTCAATCCGCCTATCGGGGTTATCTTGTAAGTTCTTTAAAGACTTGTGCATTTGGTATAAATTTCACCTGTTTCTTTGATAATTGTTGCTTACAATAATTTATAAACGGAGTCCGACAGTGGTAGACAGTTTTATCTTCTTCTTTTTTTGAGAAGATTAATTCCTGAACTCTGACCTGCAATCTACTTATCTGCAGTTGCCATTTGCAAAAAAGGTAAGTGGAAATAAAAATAAATAAAAAAGGGTTAATATCACTTTTGGTCCCTAAAGTATATTTATTTTGTCAATTTAGTCTTCAATATATCAATTTTGTTAATTCATTCTTTAAAGCATTCAATTCTTGTTTAAATGGTTTTTGAATGTACAACCCGTTAAGTTTTTGATAGAGACCACGTGTCATTTTTTTAAAAGGTATCACGTAATCAACACATGATCATTTCTATGAAAAACTTAACGAATCATCTGTGTAAGGACCATTTAAACAAGAATTGCATATTTTAGGAACAAAATTGAAACATTGAGTGTCAAATTGATAAAACGAGTATATATTAGGGACTATTTAAACAAAAATTGTATATTTTAGAGACAAAATTGATAAAATTGATATATTAAAGACAAAACTGACATATTTGAAGGACCAATAGTGCTATTAACCCATAAAAAAATGTGTAATACAAATGCCATATAGCCAAGAATCAAAATTTTGTGTTTGTTCCCCCAACATTTCGGAGTTTGGTTGAAACCGAAATATTGCAGTGATGGAAAATCAAAATCTTCATGTTTCATGTCGTTTTAAAATGTTTTGGCGAATGTTTCAGAAATAAACTCCAATTTTTTTTCCCTGTTTGCAAAATAGTTCCTAAATGATTCAACTCTGTTTAACCAACCTACGTAGCAATACAAAATTCTTATCGTCACACATAGCTCAAACTGTACTTTGAAATTTTAACTATTAGTTTCTTAAATCAATGGCATGACATTAAAGAGGGTATGGTGCAGGCAAGAAAAGCTTTGAGGGCATTGAAGGGACTGGTGAGGCTTCAAGCTATTATACGAGGGCGAGCCGTTAGACGCCATGCTATCTCTACTCTCAAGTGCTTGCAGTCCATTGTTAACATCCAGTCACAGGTCTGTGCAAGAAGATTTCAAAAGGTGGAGGATACTTTGCATTGCCATGAAAACAAAGAATTGCAGGATTTCAGAGACAAGGACATAAAGGTAGGTGCACTAAACTTGGTTATCTGTCATTTGATCTTGTGAAGTCTTGAACGACTCCCACATTGGTTGGTGCTCCCACATTGGTTGGTGATGAGGGGACCTAGGCCATATAAGAGAGCGAGTCATTTCACCTACAAGGTGTGGTGTGCCTTTTAGGCTAAAAAACCCATGCCTAATAAGTGGTATCAAAATCATGGCCCAAGCCACTGTATGGACTCGGCTCCTTGTATCATCTAAGAGAACAGTGATGGTCATCCATTATAAGCTTTGTTCGAGAGGAAAATTGTTGAGAAATAAGGGAGTGGGTCACTATACCTACAGGGTGTGCCTTTTGGTAATGAACGAGTCCAATTTCATTCTCCAAGCAATGAATATGGTGTTCTTTATTTATCGTTCAAATAAGTTTTTGGTGAAAATATTTGTATTCACAGATTGATTCAAACAGTCAGAGAAGGTGGGATGACAGCACTCTCTCAAAGGAAGAAGAAAATGCTCTGTTTTTAAGCAAGAGAGAGGCTGTTCTCAAGAGAGAGAGGATAAATGAGTACTTGTTTAGACATCGGGTAAGTTTCTTAGATTCGATTACTTGCGATTTTTTTTTCTATGTTCCATCATTTATATCTTCAATATTTTCCCACTAAAATTTATCATCTTGGGAGGTAATTTTTTGCAGAGATCAACAGAATCAGAACAGACTAAAGTTGATGAAAGATGGAAAAACTGGCTAGAACAATGGGTGGAAAGCCAGTTCACCAAGAAAGAAGACATGGAAAACTTGGGCACAGTTTTCCCTTCAAATGCCAGAACCACAGAGGAATTTGGAGGAAGACAACTAAAACTGAGAAACATTCAGAAACAATATCAAATGGCAGTAATGGATTCTCCAAAACAAATTCCCAGAAGATCATTTCATCACAGAAAACAGTGTTTCTTTGTGGACGACAATTGGAACACAGGATCTTCTCCTATTCCAACTTACATGGCTGCCACTGAATCTGCCAAGGCCAAAGCCAGATCATTGAGTTCACCAAGGGTAAGAGGACCAATTAGTATCGATTCTCCTTATAAGCATAAGCTCTCTCCTATATCCTCCATTAACAGTGAGGTGACTAGCAGCAGTAAGATTGGCTATCCGAGTGGCGGTTTCTCTCAGAAATCTCCATGCTTGAAGGGTCATCCAAGTCCTGTAAAATCAAAGAGGATTTCCAAGGATCTCAGCTTGGATTCAGACTGCTCATTGCCAAATTGGGATCGTCTTGGAGTCTCTAGATCAGGCCGTAGGAATAATTTGTTATAGTTAAGTTGGTTTTGAGTGCATAAGACTAATGCTACAATCAATTTGTATGGAAAATGATATGGGATGAGATAGATTTTAATCTGTTTTCTTGTGTTGTATGAAAAATAGATTGTTTGATTGCCAAATTATCCTTCAAGCAGCAAAAGCAAATACTCAGATCAATAAGCAACTTTTCCACTCCTCTCAAGTGGCAGCAACATGATAAAAATAAGATTCTTAATAGGATTAATTACATATCTGATTTGACCTATGGCGGATATGCATTCGCACATTTCATGCTTGATGGGAATATACGTTGACTAATCTCCTTTTCGGTCTGGTTAAAGGCAGACTATCCACGTCGGAATTAAGAAATTTATGATAAATAAATCATTCATGGCCTAATTCCAAGAGGTTGTCAAAAATTCGAACTCAAGACGTGTGAATTTATAGTTCGTCTCTGTTATCACTTGAGCTACATCTTGGGGTTGTTTATTTGTATCACCGGTGTATCTACCTGCTACTTAATAAAACTAAACATAGGGATTCGAATCCCCTTTAATATATTTTCTTTCTTAGCAAATTATCCACCATTAATAAGTGCGGATCTATTTATATACGATGACAATGTTTTGTTATTTTTTATCAAGTATTTACATAATTCTTGTGATATTTTTATTCATTTTTATTATGATGTCTATTAAGTTAATTTTTAGTTTATAGGAAAAAATAGGAGCATGAGTTCGATTAAGTGATAAAAGCATTTTAAATTGAAATCTTTGCGTTAAATTTTTTATTCACAAATTATATGGATCAATATGAACACAACACTTAAATAAATAGGTTTGATCGGCATGACATGATTAGTTAAATGAGTTGGATTAGAGTTAATTAGTGCTCGACACGAATTCGTAAATAACATAACACGAACATGTTTCACATGACACCGTTGTTGTCACCCTATCTATAAGCATACAAAGCTTAGGCCCATTGCAAATGAAAGATTCACAAACCTAGTTCCATGTCTTCTGATGATGTAGAACAGGTTGCACATTTGATCGGTTAATTCGAAACACAGGAAGGTGGCAAAATAAAAATGGTTCTGTGCCATTTGATCTGGGTCGGGTCCATGATTTAGAAGAATATTCTAGACTATTAGTTGCCTAATACATGTTGACTTTCTTAAATAATATTCGACATGTGTTTTTGATAGTTTTGACAGTTTTCTATACGATTTTTCTATTTTTATTGGAAATAAGTTTTTCTTTTTTGTTATTTAGTAATTTTTATAAGACTAGGAATTTAAGTCCATTTTGAAAACATTTCGGAGTTTGAGGATTCCTATAAATTGTGCTATATACTATTAGTTTTAATCAGTTAATTGAATGTCATATTTTGAGCGTTTTCTCATTTTTTCTTTTTCTTTGGATTTAGAGAGTGTGTTCTTCTTATTTAGAGATGTTGATCTCTTTGTGTCTTTTGTTTACTGCTATGCCATTTGATCATGTAATATTTCTATTAGTTTTTGTGATTTTTATCGGGTCATATCATAGTGTTATAAAATTGTATTAAATGATATGATGTTATTCGATGGCGTGGATCCGAACAACTCGACCAAGTCGTTCAAGACAACTATGAGCTAAGTGCGGTATGTGATTTACAAGACATGTGTATCTATTTCCAATCAAAAAGTGTTAAATTGAATACGCCTCGACCGAATAATAATGGCCAATACATTGTAATAATATTCAATGGAAGATAGAAGAGTGGGGTCATGCTTCTTGCTGCTAGTCAATCAGTAGTCTTGCTAGAGGTCCTAGGTTAATGAGAAAAGTGTAAACTCAACTTCCTAGCACCGTTTCTAATATCAGCACTGTTAGAAATCCTAAATGAATAAGGATCTTGGATCAATAGTGATGGGCTAGAGCCAAGGGCCTCATTCAAGTTATGTTTGAATAAAGAGTCCAACTAAACGAAACTCAATGGGTCCAACCCAAGGAGATCCACACCCAGTCAGACTTATCAGGGTTCGAGGAGCTATATCATCAAAGAGTACCGAATACATCTGCTATCACTCTCATCTTTCTCACAGCTTGTAACTCTAGTGTTCTCTCCTAATCTCCTTACACTCCTTGAAATAATAAAATATCAGGCCATCTTAGCCCTGCATAATAGAGTAGGTCATGTTGACTGAACCACTCTACATTTTGTCATGCTTGTGTTACTCTCTTTCCACTTAATTACTGCATTAATTATTAATTACTCGACAGGTGGTGTGCAAAATTAATTTGTGCATCATTAGTTGGTGCTGTCTGTGGTAAACGACAAAGTTCTCACCCAATCACCTTTTTACTGTATTTATAGCGATCACCACCAGATCCATGAATTAGACCAAAGACAATTCACCACGTGAGGAGGAGACTACCCCTCCACCAACTAATCATGTTCCAAATGCACAACAAATGCTCGAAACAATGCAACAACTCGTAAGTCAGAATCAACAAATCCTACAGCTGATGGTCGCTAGACAATAGAGAGGTGTGCAGTCGAGAGGACATCAAACAAGAGGAGCCCCTCGCCACGGGCGTCAAGGACCTTCCCACTTAGGGGCCCCATTACAAGCCCCTTTGGGCTCCCCCTAGAAAAAAATCCCTCATCAGAATCATGAGGGAGCTCCACCTCCTCCTTCAACTCTCTCTTCCCATGGTGGAGGCCCTCGTTTCCAAGAGGATGAGGGCAAAAATCAAAGTGTGGAGCATGAGAGCTATTTTCACGACAATTCCAAAGGAGCCCCCAATCACTAGGATGAAAAAATCAAAGAAGTACAGAATCAACTAGGTGATGTCTTCAATGCTATGAAGGAGCAAGGACCAGAGACCGTGGATTATCTCATAAGACAAACTAATACACCCTTTGTATCAGATGTAGCAAACTATTCCCTTCCCCAGAAATTCAAAATGCCATAAGTAGAAATCTTTGACGGCACAAAAGATCCACTAGATCACCTCGAAACTTGCAAATCCTTGATGCAGCTGCATAATGTTCCTGCTGAAGTCATGTGTAGGGCTTTCCTTACTACCTTGAAGGGATTTACCTGACAGTGGTTCTCACCAAGCTCATTTTAGCCTCCATTAGCTCCTTTGCCAAACTAAGTAGGTCCTTCGTGTCACACTTCATTGGAGGATGTCGCCACCAAAAGCCTGCCTCCCATTTACTCAGCATAAGGCAGGATCGAGACGTGAGCTTGAGAAGTTACCTCACTCATTTTAATGAGAGGGTCTTCTAATTCGAGGAGCCCAACAATAAATTCACCATGACTGCCTTCTTAGAAGGCCTCCACTCCTCGAACTTCCTCTTTTTAGTGATGAAGCGTCCACCTAAGAGCATGCCGAACTTTTGGCAAAAGCTCATAAATACATGCATACTGAAGACATCACTAGGGCCAAGCGAGGTGAATCCTCACGAACAGGGGAGAAGAGAAAGGAAAAAGATAGAGAATACAAGAAGGATAGCAAAAACAAACGAGGTAGGATAGAAAGGGTGTCTACCAAAGACCGACTTGGTCCTGCCCCTCAAAGAGAGCGGCAGATCTTCACTCACCTCAACGCCATTGTCGGGCACATGCTATTCCAAATCCAAGATGACCTTGCAGTAAAGTGGCCTAGAAGAAAGAAATCTCTCCTAAATTGTAGGAATCCAAACAAGTATTGTTGCTTCTATCGTGATCACGGCTACGATACCGATGACTACTATGAGCTCAAAAGATAGATTGAGGAGCTTATATAGCATGGTCAACTATGCTAGTATGTTGCTGGTAAGGGTCAAGCGCCGCCACCACCTCATAACCAGCAGGACCAACAACTCATTTGAGAAATTCACACCATCTCCGGAGGGTTCGCAAGAGCAGGAGAATCCCTCTCAACCATGAAGGGTCATGCTAGAAAGGCTTGACACATTGACAATCTGCGCCCATCTGAGGCACACAACAAGGAAATGACGAGGTCATATCCTTTTCAGACAAGGATCTGGAAGGAATTCAGCACCCCCACGACGACCCACTGGTGCTAACAATGATCGTCGACAATTTTCAAGTATGAAGGATTCTAGTAGACAACGACAGCTTAGCAAATATCTTGTTCGCAGAAGCCTATGACAAGCTCTCCCTCGGAAGAGAAAGACTGCAACCCATCAGGTTGCCCCTTATTGAATTCTTAGGGAAAAAAGTGTACCTCTTAGGATCCATCACCTTACCAGTCACTGTCGGTGTAGCTCCCCAAAGCTTCACGATCATGGCAAACTTCTTGGTGATAGATTGACTATCAGCCTACAACGTCACCATAGGGTAACATGCTCTCAACACCTTAAGAGTTGTGTCCTTCACCTGTCATCTTATTCTCTATTTTCTAATCCCAAATGGAATCGGAGAGGTCCAGAGAGATCAGGTTGCTACAAGAGAATGTTATGTCTCCTCCATGAAGACTAGGAAGCCATAAGAAGCCCTACAAGTAGAGGTGCTCGACCTAGAGACGATATCACATGGAGAGAGGAGAGCCAATGGAAGAGTTCACACCAGTGGTCTTAGATGAGAAGTTCCCAGATAAAAAGGTGTAAATTGGCTCCTCCCTTGCTAAGGACATAGCCCACCAGCTCACGAATTTTCTGAGATGCAATATAGATATTTTTGCGTGGTCACACGAGCACCTTGAGGGCATCGACCCTGAGGTCGCCACCCACTGCCTCAATGTTGACCCTTGTTATAAGCCTATTCACCAAAAGTTGAGGAGTGTCTCCACGGAAAGAGCCCAAGCAATGGAAAAGGAGGTGGAAAAACTAATAGAGAATGGAGCAATTAGAGAAGTGGTGGCCTATCTAGTTTGGCTATTAAATGTAGTGATGGTGACCAAAGCTAATGAAAAGTGACACCTCTGCGTCAACTTTACCGAACTCAATAAGACGTGCCTAAAGATAGCTACCCGTTACCGTGGATCGACATTCTCATTGACGCCACTATAAGCCACGAACTACTCACTTTTCTAGATGCATATTCTGGATACAACCAGATCAGTATATATTCTCTGGACCAGGAGAAGACATCCTTCATCACTCCAAAGGGAACCTACTATTACAGAGTCATGC